CTGTTCAGGCTTGAGTTGAAGACTTATTTCTCGGGCTGGCAGCCCAAAGGACTGAATATTATATATTAGAAATATGCTCAATTATCATTTTGTTTCATGGAAATATCAATCAGAACCACATGCTATTTTTCATCTATCACAGTTAACCTATTCATTTATGTATATGTAATTTCTATTTCCCAAATTAACAATTTCCTGTGAATATGATTTGTATTGTGACTAGTTAAAACCCTAATACTTACATACATCATATTCTACCAAGTTAAATAAAATATATTATATTTTATCTCTGTTATAACAGTTATGAAATATTTTAATTGTTTTATCAAAGATCTATGAAATTAAATAACCTCAGATTTTTATAATTAAAAAAATTGTTTATAGAAATACAAATCTAAAAATAATTTCTGAAAAGATTAGAATTCAATAATTTGTGACCAAAAGAAATACAAATGGATAATCTGAAGTACGGATCCTACTTAATAAAACTGAAAATTCCATAATTTTTTTAGTCGAGCTCGGGTTGGGCTGGAACAAAATTTTTTTATTAGGGTCGGGCTAGGACCATTTAGAGCTTTGGTCAGGGGGCCGCAAAATATTACTTAGCAGGGCTTTACTTGATCCATATATTATTTATATTTATGATTAATTAAACTCGTAATTGCGCTTATTATTCAATTCATCCAAGTCCAGATGTATTTAATAATAAAATGAGTATCAAAATTAAAATAAAATTTCAAGATGCAATTTATAATTAAATTGTATGTATAAATTTTTTTAAATGTAAAAACTTCCGATTGCATTTTTCCCGTAAATAAAAATTAAACCACATGGATTAATTATTACATTTTCAATTAAGTATAAGAATCGAATCCTATGTAGTATAAAAAAAATATGGTTTATGTAATTAAGATTATTTTAATATGGTAAGACTTTTTAAATTTGAAACTTTACGTAAGTTTCTGGTGCTTTAGATAGTCTATTTGTTGTTTTTTTAAGCTAACTCTTTGATATAGTGTTGCTAAACGGCTCGATTTAGTCAAAATTTTAGCCAAAATAAAATTATGCAAGCCTCAAAATTTCGATAATAAATGTCCAAACCTTTCTGCCATCTAAACAAAATCTCCAGGATTGCGTAATATTTTTTGGCTAAAATATTGGGTTTGCCGTTTTTAAAAATCGAGTCGTTTAACAATACTTTTTAGATACTTACTCAAATATCTGCCGTTAAAATCCGGGGAGGATCAGAAAAATTTTTTAAAATATTAATTTAAATTATACCAATTTATTCGGTTGTAAAATGTGGGAAAATTATATAAATATTTTCAAAATGTTCTTTAAAAAATAACTAGCTAAAATATCTAAAATAACAAAATTTGGTGAGGGCCATATATAACAATTTTTTAAAATTGGCAAGGAATTCGTGGGTCTTTAATTTCTTTGTCAAATTTATTCTCCTTTGTCACGAGATCATGGACCGGGCCGGCCTGCGGCCCGCATGCCCATACCCGGCCTCTAATATAATATTTTCTGAGCAGGGCCTGGGTTTTTAAAAATATTTTTTAATGGACTTAGGCTGGGCTTGGGCCTAAAATTATTATATTTAAATTTAGATCATTTAAAACACTTGCTAATTTAATGAAATATTGCCTTTTTTTTCTTCTAATAATAATAAATTTCAGTATTGTAAACAAAATGATTGCCTAAATATATTTAAATATTGTTAATTTTAATTAAATAAAAAAAATTATATTTTTGTATATGGGCTTGGGCTTGGGAAATTTTTGTGAAACTTATTATGTGAGCTTGGGAATTTTTTTTAACATTAATATGGGCCGGGCTGGACTTGGACCAAAAAAAAATTACTGCGGGCCTGGGCCGGGCTTGGTCAAAAAATTAAGGTCCATGAAGGTTTCTGATATAAGGCTGTAGCCTGCATATGTTCTTGGATCTGTTAAGAGTTATCTTGACAAATGTTAAAGATGTTCGAATAAGACGTGCACGTTTCTGGTTGATCATTTAAGTTGAATTTTTGTCCGCCTTATTGGAAACTGAAAGATTTCAACAACTTAGGAGTCGAGACTTGAAGGAGTGTTGAATTTCGTAAGCTATCTTTGTCAGGAAGGATTTTATATCACGTCATAGCTTATGCCGTATATCAAGTAAATTTTATTTTATTTCTATTAAAGAAGTTTGCCCCTATTAGGCTAATTAGATTCTTTGAATTCAAGGAAATCCAGTCAGAGCGCAATACTACTTTATGTATGGTATTAATCGCCGAGTTGGAAAAAAGACTCCCTGCGTGATCCCACAACCCTTTGATATTTGTAATAATATTCATATCGTAATTCCTATGTGTAGTCCTTAATAAGTTTCAAAAGGTTTACTTTAACGGCAGGGTCGCTCAGTGGTCCCACACTATATTTTACGGTTTTATTTGATTATATATCTCCCTTCTTTTTCCTTTTATACCATAGGATCAATGTTTAAAATACACATGATTATTTTATGATACGAGCTAAAACTTATTTCGTGAAGAACTTTAACATTGTCCATCAGTCCATGGGTGTTTTTAGGACAAATCAAAAAATCAATCTGGAACCAGGAGTTATATTGAGAGCTTTAGTGAGTAAAGATCTCACTAAGATCGGAATGTTCAAACAAGGAGTTAGCTATTCTATTAAGAGAAGTTTACCACTAATGTCAAAGCCACCGTACCTAGACAATCGTGTTATGAAATACCGGAGAAATAAAATTTAGAATTGAAGTTTCCAGCCATTAAAAAAAATCTTCGTTTTGGAAACTTCTTTACGCAATTGTGCATGAGTAAAAGCGCTATCATTTCCAGGCAATTACGCCTATGGTTCTAAAGTTATTCATTAGTAAAATTTTTAAAAGGCTTATTTTAATTCATCAACAAAAATATAAATAAAACTCATCAAAAAAAATTGGATAAATAATAGGTTTAATAAATTGGAATCAATGCCCTTGGCTTTCTTTTATAAAAAACTTAAGAGTGAAAATATGTATAATAAATCATTTATCATTCTTATTTGCATCCCAAATTCCTTGATGAGTTATAAAATTTTTAAGATAATTCGTGTGATTATTACGTTTTCAAGTTCATTGTTATTACAATTAAAAAAACTATAATGTTAAAAAAAAATGAAGAGAATTATGTTTTAAAATATCGGTGAAATTTCTCATACCAATTTTTTATACGTTTTATTTGATTACAAAAACATATGTTACAGAATAATATCATTTTTCTATGTATAAACATAACATAATTTGTGAGTAAATTTATTTTGTAGTAAACCATATCATATGGCTTATGTTTTATTGTTCAACATTCGAAAAAAAATAAAGTAGACAAGACGCACCTAAAAATGTGCCATTTATGAACAAAATTTAAGGCTTGCATAATATATTTCTGGATAAAGTATTGAGTTAGCCGTTTTTAAAAATCGGCTCAAAACGAGCTGTTTAAGAACACTACTTTGGCTAATAAATTTTTCGATCTAGAAATAAATTTTTAAAAAATTCATTTTTTGTTGCTTTTTAAAAAAAGTTAAAAAAGATTTCGATAATTTTTATTAGGGTTGTCTAGCATTGTTAAAAAATATTATGCATCGAGATAATCTTATCGGGTAGTTTTTAAAAATAAACATGAATCGGGCTTTTTAACAACCCTAGAGGTGTCCATAAATTTTTAAAAATTCGAAAAGTTTCAAAACTTTCGCAAATTTTATGTTTTTTTATTTTTATAAGTCTATTTTGATTAAAGTTTTTGTAAGTTTGTGAATTTAACTTTTTAATGTTTTGACAGCCTTAAAAAAACTTGATAAAATTGGTCACACATTACGAATTATATAAAAAAAAATTTCCCTTCAATATCGAAGGAGTTCGAAGAAATCTTAGATTTAATTTCGTGCTTATTTCGATATTTTTATAATTATGTTATAGAGATAATAAAACAGTTGTTATATTTTTTATTCAAAATGAATTCTATATCAAAAAGAAAACTCCCCCCTAAACAAATTTTAATGATTGAAAAATTGTTCAATAATATTTTAGTTATATATATGGCACTTGGTTCAGGGGTTGTCAGTAGTGTTGTTAAAAAGCCCGATCTGACCAAAATAATATTGTGTAAGCCTGATGATATTGCTCATAAATTTGCAGAAAGGTTTGGGCTTCTACTTGACAAATCTTGAGACTTACACGATATTATTTTGGCTAAAATAGAGACGTTTTTAAAAATTGACATCGGGCTTTTTAACAACACTAGTTGTCAGGAGGTAGGAGCAAATGGGGGGGGGGGGGGGGGTTAGTATTTTCAAACTTCGAAAAATTTAAAGTTAGGAAAGTGTCGCTTATATCATTTTTATTCGAACCTATTCCATAATTTTAAAAAACACGCGACAGAGAACTTATCATGTTTCTTTTATACAACAAAACAAGTTATATCAGAATCTTTATGAATTTAATAAATGAATTATTCTATATAATTATAAATGGCCTTGCCAATGCATGAAAGTTTACAGGCATCAATATTAAAGAGTAACCAACGCACTTGAGGATTCAAAATAAAAAAATTAATGATCATAATTTAATGTTAACCGCGATGAATAATTCGTCGCTAAACAATAGGAATGTTGTAAAATTTAATATAAAATTTTGTAAGCCTGCAATGTCTCCCTTTTTTTAGCGACATCTCAGTCACTATAAACGAGGCCTATAAAACGTAATTCATACATATTAGCAAATAATTCTTTGCAAAAGAAAAATATATGGAAATAGGGTCTTAATTTTTATCTGCCTCTCCTACCTTACCATATGTTATAAAAGTTTCCAGCTGGGACCGAACTCTTAGAGTCACTGAGAAGAATGATAATTACAAGTGAATCTGAGTAATGTAGCAAACCTCTCTCCAAATTTTTAAAAAATAAAACTAATTATGTAAATAAATTTTTTTTATCAATATTCATTTTTTTTACCCGAATAAATAAATCGAATAAATAGAATTAAGAATACGAATGATCGATATAATCCGGAAATCCCAAACGATAATGTAAATCGTCTGCTCGTCATTATTTCAATTTGAGATGGATTAATTATAATTTTGACCAGTTTATACAAGAATAAATAAGAAACAATTGAGTTAATTACCTTCCTTTTCTTTGTTTTAATTCAGATTATTATGTTTATCTTGATACTAACGAAACCGATAAGGATAAAATATTTTGAGAATATATTTACGAGATTCATATTTGAGAAAGATAAAAAATTTTAAGGATATTATTTCCCACCTTTTGAGGACAGATGATATTCATTTATTACATCGAAATCCAGATTTGCATTAATTACTGAGCAATAATTTAAATTAATTATTTCTTTTAATTTTTTCTAATAAAAAATTATGACAAATTAAAATAAAAACTTTAGAAACTATTATTTCAAATAAATTAAATTCCACATTTTTAGAATATTGAAATAATTTAAATTTTCAATTTGCTTTAAAATAAATGGATAATGAATAATTAAAATTAAATCAAATGATTGATAAGGAACGAATTTAAAACAATATTATTTTTTTAAAGAATTTTTATAATATGTAACATTTTTTAACAAACAATAAATAAACGTGGTTTTCCTCGAAGGAATATTATTTATTTTAAAAAAAGTTTTTACAAATTAAATTTAAAAGACCTGCATAAGCTGATCAGTGATATTCAAATTATGGTCACTAAATATATATAGGATAATTAAATTTGATATTAAGTTTTTTTTTTAAAAACCCCATTCAGAAAACATGGTTTCTTTTTTACTCTAGATTTTTACTAATTACAAAATAATTAAATAACAAAAATAAATTATACAAACAAAAATAAAAGAATTAATAGATTAATAAATATTTATTTTATTTAAAAAATATGGATATTTTATTATACTTGTTATTTCTTACACAGGCGACAAAAAAAGGCAGTATATTAAAATAGATAATAAAATAAATAAAATATGATAAATAAATTATCGATAATCAAAAAAAATAAAAATCCTTTTTAGTTAGTTTTTTCATGTAACACCATAATGGGTTTATCTTTTTTAAACCCAACTCATCCCAGAATGACTTTTAGTTACTAGGGAAGTCCTCGAATCGTTATTGAACTTCTAAATTAGTTTTGGGTCGATTATAAGAAACGGCCTGATTTAGATTGTAGTAGCCAAAATAACCTCGAGATTTGGTAGATGTCCAAACCTTCTTGCTATCTATGAGCAAAGCCTTCCGACTAACATAATATTGTTAAAATCGGGCCACTTTCCTAAATAAGTCTCTATCTAGTTGGTCTTGGTTATTGATTTCGTTGAAAATCTTATATGTATATATGAGATTTAGAGCTATAACATTGCTATTTGGGTAGGAACCTATAGGTGAAGCTGGATAGTAGGGATTTGCCTAAAACCTGGCTTGATTCAGGACCAAATGAGATTTTTTTGCTTTTCAGAATTGTAAAAATGTGTTTAATTTATATTTTCCAGCCAGGCTTACTAATGAATAATAAAAAAACAATCATAATTTGATCTTGAGTGTATATTTATTATATAGAATTTTTTTATTATTCATTTCGTTATTGTAACTAATTTTTCTTAGGAATATTATGGAATACTATGAATTCCTGACTAAAAGACATCAGACATATATATCTATTTTAATTTTAAAAAATTTAAATACTTAGAAAGGGGAATTTTAAAAATTAAAAGACTCTAGATATCTGCTAAATTTTACAAATGTAGTGGGTTTGGTGTCTAATAGAATGGTATTTCTCCTCCTCTAATATAACGACTAACTCTTATTTTTCTTCAATAACTAGCTAAGCGCTAACGAGGTCTGTAAGCTTAGTATCAGCCTTCCCCGAAGTTCCGTAAAACGAAAACAAACTTATTAATTGTTTCGCGCTGATTTCACAGTCCTAATCTAACCACTAGCTTAAAACAGGCCAAACCGTGAACGCGTAGCAATATATTTAGCCGGCATCTAAACATTTCCCCAGTGCCACGTGTATGTGCATGGTTTTTAATAAAAATTTGTGTAAAAATACATAGCGGCTGCACATTAACATTAGTTATATTTTTTAGTTAAGAATGAATGTGTAGAATATAGTAATAAAATCTTTTTAAAACTTCCCCCTCACTACACATTTGAAGGAATTATAAAAATTTGGGTATTTTTATCAGATGTCTCTTTGTTCGGGGTATTTTTGTTAGTGTCTTGATGTCCAGGACCCTTATGACCGATTACCATTATGTATATTTGACACCTAATTCTAACGACTTTTTTTTATTTTTACAGCAGTGTCACATATGATTACTTCTTATAACTACTATGGTTTTAAGAATTTTTTTCATAAAATATTCTATCCTAAATAAATGTCCTAAATACGTAATTGGACCAAAATATCCCGGTCCCATAGTGGAAAAATTTTTTTGGAATCCTGATTTATTAATATTTTTTAGTTTATGAATACTAGTTTTGACTCCTTCTTTCACTTTTACTCTATTCCTCCCATCCCATCATTCTCAAATTTTTTTATCCAATGTACCCATGCAGACTCATTATTTTAATTTATAATATTCCTAATACAAAGTACATCGAACTCGATTCTCTAACACAAATTATATTTAATTATATATTTTTTTTTATTTAAGAAAATGAAAAGAAACTTTCCAAGAAAAAATAAAATAAATGAAACAAAAATGAGAAGCGAATTATCATTTTATTTCAATTCAATATACATAAAATAATCATAAAAATAAATAATGCATTAATAAATTAGAGAGAATGATTTAATTAAGCTTTATTTTTGAAAAAAATAAACATTACAATTAACCATAATAACCCTACCAACCCCTTTCTCTTTCTACTTTATTTTTTACTATGAGAAAATATCTGTGGTGTTCCTATTTTATTAAATTTGAGTGTGTGTTGCTTTTGCGAGGAATGTTCTAATTGTTTCTGTTTTATTTTGTTGCATTTAATATTTACTTCTTTTTGAAAAAAAAAAAAATTTTTTATAGATGATTTATTTTTTTATAAGAAAAAAATATAAAAAAATACATAAGTATCCATCCAGTGTAAAATGTTAGTCCTTTTTAAAAATTATTTAAGATTTCTTAAACATCTTGTAGCGCGTTCAAACAACATTTCTAATTGTTAGTTTCAGGTCTTGTATCGGACATTTTTTTTTAAAGTCCAATCCGAATTAAGAAACAAATTCAAAAATCTTTATCCAACCAATCCAATCTAAATTTTATTTTCAAATATCCGAGTTCAGTCAGAAATTTTATTTTAACTCAGCCTTGAATGAAACAGATTTGCACCAGGAGAGCCAACACGGAGGGGGTTCAGTTGCATCTCTCTGGAAAATTGAGAATATATTCCTTTATATAAAAAAAGTTCTAAAATTTAATTTTTTTTAATAAACAAGGTGGGTTTCTACACTTTTTAACATTATTGAAAGAGAATAATAAAAAAAATATATTGAATTTACAAAAAATAACTGAACCCAAAATGATTTTATTATATCATTCATTTTATCCCATATAAAAATATTGGAGAGTCTAGATATAAAAATGTGGTATCTGTATCTATATAGATTTTTGATTAAAGTATCTGTATCTAGATATTATTTTAGAGGTATCTGTATCTGTTTTTAGATACTTTTTAAGATAAATTTTGATATACTTCTATTTAACGCTTTTTTATATTATAAAAAAAAATAGTTGAATGTAAAATTTATTTTATTTCATATGAGCAAATAACTTAATATTAATATATATATTAAAAAATTATATATATATGTAAAATATTAAAACTTATATATATAAAAGAATATATAAATTAAATATTGTCCGAGTTATCAATAACAAGCAAATTCTGATATTACAATCCGGAATTTGCGATTTTTAATTGGAATGGAATTGATATTTTATTTTATTCTACTCTATTATATTAATTTTTACGATTAATATTGATGACGAAAATGACGACATTCTTCCATGTTATAGACCATATTTTAAAATAAAGAAAATTGGTAAAATGTTTGCCATGTCTAACAAAAAATATGCAAATTTTAGTTAGCATTACCTCAACTTGCAACATTGTAAAACATTTAAGGATATAGATACTAAATAAATGTTTACAATTTTAAATATTAAGAGAAACCATCAAACACTCTTAATCCAAATAAAAAAGGGGAAGGAGAAAAAATCTATTAAAGAAAATATTGGACTAGGCTCAACGTCTATTGATTTTTTTCCCAAGAGACCTCAGACTTTAACCCAAACCACTTTAGATGATTTAATAACTAATTTTATTATAGATAGCATTCAGCCATTTTCAATTGTTTGAAAATCCTTCATTTATAAAAATGATCAAAACATTAGCTCCACAAAAAATATAATTTGCCGACAGACAGTGGTTACTAGAATCTCCCAAAGATGGGAGAATGAAAAGAAAGAAATCATTAAAAGTCTAATAGAACCATCGTTAATATGTACAACAGCAGATTGTTGGAGTGCCTATCGCCGGTATAGCTAACATTTAAATTTGTATAATAATTTAATTACAAACAAATTATTTGAGCAGTTTTAAGAAATGTTAATTTTAGTTCATACATAGGAGTCACTACACACTATATAGATCCAACAAGTTTGGAAAGAAAAAATGTAGCCTTGGCTTGTAAATGAATGACTGGTAGTCATACATATGATAAAATAGCAAAAAATTTACAAGATATAGCAAAGGATTATTGCATACAAAATAAAATCTCAAAGACCATTACTGATATTGCCAAAAACTTTATTAAGTCTTTTAGGTTTATTTTATTATAAATATAAACATAATATTACTTATTTATGATAGGGTTTTCAAAACAATTGAAAATATTAGTGAATCCATCGATGATCTGGAAGATGAAGAAACAGTTGCACCAATATCAATATTAGATCTTTATACTACTGCTCAGGATTTTGGAATATCAGAGTCATAAACCTGTGAAAAAAAACCAATAATTTAATATCCGATTTTTTTCAGTATCCCACAGCAGTAGATATTGTTAATGATTTAAATTCTGATAATCAACAAATTTTTAATAGTTTTTTCAAAAATGAATGTCGAGATTTTTGTATTTTTAAACAATATCCGGATATAAAAATGTTATTCATTAAATAGAACACCACAATCCCTTCCAGCACTGCTGTTGAAAGACTTTTTAGTATAGCTAAAAATGTCTTTACAGATTAACAAGGATGTCTTAATGACCAAAATTTTGAAAGTATTTTGTTGCTGAAATCTAATGATTATTTATAATCATTTAATCATATATTATATTATTTTATTAATGATATATAATAATTATTTATATTAAGCATATATTATATTAATATCTAAAAATCATTATTTTATTTATATTTTGATAAATGTGATATCAAAATTTTTTAGATCATTTTATGAATTTTTACAATAGAATCCTAATTTAGGTTTATTCAAACCTTATCTAAGAGTATAATAAAAAATGTATCTGTATTTAGATACATTTTAAATTATATCTGTATTTAGATACATTTTAAATTATATCTGTATTTAGATACATTTTAAATTATATCTGTATCAAGATAACTTTTTAGAAGCTGTATATGTATCTAGATAAATTTTTAGACGATGTATCTGTATCTAGATCCATTTAAAAAGTATCGTTTAACAACTCTGCTATCTAACAATATATTATCATTACGCCTTATGCATGAGGCTTAAATTTAAATCTTAAATAATATGTATAAAGTGATGAATTATGAGATGTCATAAGATATCAAAACTTATATTTTCAGGAATGCTCTTCGAAAATATTTAATTAATATTTTTACCTCCTAGGGCAAATTAGTACCAGCCTTCAATAAGAGAGCATAAGGTTTATTGAAGCAACAATTGATGTTTTATTATATAAAACAAGATAGAACGTGTATTTACAGATATTCCTTAAAAAATTGTTCATGAATTCCTCTTATTACATTTCTTCGGAAATAGATCATCCAACATTTATAGATAAGAGTTTGATCCAATATAGAGGTAGCAGATGTTGTCCTTCAATTAACGCTTCTACGCAAATCTAATGAATTCAGTTTTATTATTTAAATCAGAGGCCTGCTGTCCAGGCCAGGCCTAAAAATTTTTTTAATAACCTTATCTAAGAGTATAATAAAAAATGTATCTGTACCTAGATACATTTTAAATTGTATCTGTATCAAGATAACTTTTTAGAAGCTGTATCTGTATCTAGATAAATTTTTAGACGATGTATCTGTATCTGGATCCATTTAAAAAGTATCGTTTAACAACTCTGCTATCTAACAATATATTATCATTACGCCTTATGCATGAGGCTTAAATTTAAATCTTAAATAATATGTATAAAGTGATGAATTATGAAATGTCATAAGATATCAAAACTTATATTTTCAGGAATGCTCTTCGAAAATATTTAGTTAATATTTTTACCTTCTAGGGCAAATTAGTACCAGCCTTCAATAAGAGAGCATAAGGTTTATTGAAGCAACAATTGATGTTTTATTATATAAAACAAGATAGAACGTGTATTTACAGATATTCCTTAAAAAATTGTTCATGAATTCCTCTTATTACATTTCTTCGGAAATAGATCATCCAACATTTATAGATAAGAGTTTGATCCAATATAGAGGTAGCAGATGTTGTCCTTCAATTAACGCTTCTACGCAAATCTAATGAATTCAGTTTTATTATTTAAATCAGAGGCCTGCTGTCCAGGCCGGGCCTAAAAAAATTTTTTAATACCCGGGTTGAGCCTAAAATTTGGTTTTAAAATAATACCCTGGCCGGGTGGTATATTTTAAATCGCCTAACTATAAAACTAAAAATAAAGATATATTTTAAAAAAATACCCGGGCCGGGTGGTATATTTTAAATCGCTTAACTATAAAAGCTAAAAATAAAGATATATTTTAAAAAAATCTGCAGGTCTCTGATTTAATTTGCAACCCTCTTACGCATTCTAAAGATGTCATAGGATGATGGATTTGGTGAAATCAGTAAAATTGCAGGGCTGCATCATAGAAATCTCAAGGGGCACCCAGGCATATATAGTGAATGTCTATATGACTAAGCCAGCTGGTAGTAATAAAATATTAACTCTATTAGATGTAGCCATAAATAAAGACTAAGCCCTAACCATTTATAGCTCTGGGTACGAATGTAGTGTTTTTAAAGATGGGCAGTATCCCTATTGACTATAAAAAGCTTGATACGAAAGAAAATGAAAAATATTAAACAATAATTTATTTTATTTTGTATAAAATTAAATATGGCTCTCTGATTTTTAATAAAGGTCATTTGAATATGACAATTTAACCGTAGCTATTTTTGTTAGCTATATGTAATAGTTTTCCACCCTGTAATACTAGGAGTACAATCTTAGTCAACCAACATATTTAGTATTCATTTTATAATTGAACCATTATATATTTTCCTTCATAGGTGACCTTGACATTATTCGTTTTGGGAAGTCTAGAGGGTACTGAAAAATTTTATAAATTTTATAAAAAGTAGATTTAAGGAAGAGGTAACCACTTAGTGCAATATGTGGTGAAAAAGGTTTTTAAAATCTACAAAGCAGGCTATTTTAATCAGGGTTGTGATGTGGATATTCTAAAAACCGAGTTCTGTTGAAGACAAAAAAAATAATAAGTGGGTCTTGTGTTCGGTTTGATTCAATTTTTGTAACCCGAATTATGTTCGAACTAAGGAATTTTGATTAAAAATGTAAAATTTAGATTATTCTATTTGTTAGGTAAATTAATTAAATAATAAAAATAAAGCAAGGGTATCTTTGAATTTTATTAAGAAAATAAATATTGTAGTTTGTTTTTACAAAAGAAAACCGATGATTTTTAGTTTCAACTTAAATTTTATTTAGAGAAACAAAAGATACAAATATAGAATTTAGACGCACCCATTTAGATATTATTCTAGACATGAAAGATCCTTCCCAGCATTTTTTCATAGCAGTAACAAAGGAGTTTCAAGCAAGCAAGAAAGCACTTAAATATTTTACGCTCGATGAGAAAAAACAGGTATTTATTAAGGATAAAATTAAATAATGACAAAATTGATATCAATAAAATTTATACAAAATACTCAAAACTTAAATATAAAATTTATTTTATATACTATAAGAATCAATTACAAAATAGCTTATTTCATTTTAAAAAAATAGTTAGAAAAAATTAATGTAATACATGATAAGAAAATGGGTTTTCAATTTTTGTAAAAAATAATTATATATATGTAAGTTGTTATTTTAATGACAATTTATATTTTTTGATTAAATTAAATTTATTCAAATTGAGAAAAACTCAAATGAAAACTTATTAACTCAAATTAGAACTTAAATAACATTAATAAAAATCGTGTTTTTTAAAATATATGATTTAATTATCCAAAATCATAGGCGTAGTCAGAGGTTTTATGGGAGGGGGGCAATAATAGATAGGATATCATTTTGTAAATTTTATTGGATATCTTTAGGTTAACATATTATAAGCCATTGACTATATTAGATTGTTATAAAGATAGTTTCGGGTTTTAACCTTTTATATAATGTTTTTTTTCTAAAATGTTTGAATTATAGTTGCTATTAAAAAAATTATTAATAATTTTTCTCTCAAATTCTATATTTTTAGTAAATTCAGAATGAAGCAGAATTAGAATATTTTAATTTTTTTTATTAACTTCAAATGTAAAATAAATTCAAAGAATATAAATATACATTTTTATATTTACATTATATATTGTGCGATTTATCTGAATAGGAAAATTGATTTACATCTGCATCATAAGTCAAATTATTTGTTTATTGACAATATTAGTAGTCAATCACTACCCTATATCATTATTTAGATAATTATTATATTAGCAGTAGTAAATATTATCCTAGTGAATAGATAGGATGCTAATATCACATGGAAATTTATTAAGATTTTGTAATAGATTTTATTTTGGGCTTAAAAATAATATGCTTATGGAATATCTTAATAGAGCATCGCGATTTATACCAGAACCTACGCTTATATCCCATAAAGGGCAGAATGGAAAAATTTGTGTTATAGGAGGCAGTATAGAGTATAAATATTTATTTGAACCTTATTTTATGATTAAAAAACATAGTTACACAGGGGCTCCTTATTTTGCTTCAATATCCGCTCTTAAAATGGTAAAATATTAATTGTTATATTATTCAATTATTTTCAGGGTGCTGATTTAGCTCATGTCATATGCCCTCCAGAGGCAGCTCCCATTATTAAAACATATTCTCCTGAACTAATGGTCCATCCTATATTGTCTAAATTCTATATTTAATTTAGATACTTTAATTTGAAACTTTAGGGATATAATATCTAACATAAAAGATTTGGCTCATTTATTAGAGAAGATGCATGTTTTGGTTTTAGGCCCTGGAATGGGAAGAGATGAGAAGAAGATACCCATTTTCCAGGTAAATTAAAAATTTTAGAATTTAATATAAATAATTATAAATTAGAAAATTATTGAAGTAGCTAAAAAGTTAAACAAACCAATGATTATTGATGCCGTAATATTTACATTTTCCCTCATATATTTAAATTTATTTAAGGATGGAATTCATTTTATCTCAATAAATCCTCACATTATTTTAGGATATCAAAATCTTATTTTAACACCTAATGCTAATGAATTTAAACAATTGTACTCTCTAACAGTAATCAAATTTTATATAGTACAGTTGATAATATATTACATATGCAGGTGGCATGTCCACAAGTATTTATTAGAGTAGTTCACTGAGCTTGCACTTTCAAACTGATTTGCTTTCCATTCTCCAACCCAACCTATTATTTTTAAGAGACCTTGTATTTGCAATTAAAATTATTTCATTTATTAAATAAATTCCATCTTAAAACAAGGCAAAATAATTATCCAAATACATGAAAAAAATAATATAAAAAGAATGAGAAAATTATCATTCAATTTAGAAAAAATGTATCAAAACATAATTAATATGTACAGGATTTAAATTAATTTCTCAGAATTTTTTTGAACAAAAATAAAATGAATGATACTATCTAATATAGTTTTAGCATCATAAAAATTACCTCAGAGTTCTAGACAATATCTGATTTATATTAATCATCAAATCTCTTATCTTTATTATAAATCTAAATTTATGAAAATTTTAATATATTATAGATGGTAATTGTAGTTGTCTAGTTGGGAGTGCATACAAAGGCACCCTTGGCTCCTAAAATTTGGAAATAATTTAGTGTGCCCTTTCCAAATTGAAAGATATAAAGGGCAGTACACCTTTTGAAACTTTTTTAAAATATGTTATTTTAACGTTTAATTTATTATGAAATAAAAAGTATTATATTTTTATTAAAACAGATTATTATTACTGAATTAATACATTTATGGAGCATAGGCTATTTCATTTATAATATTTTACATAAAATAGAAAAATACAATTGCCAGAATGTTAGACTTAAAAACAAATATTTTGAAAGCAAAATTTATTATATTAATATACCTTAATTTATTTAATATAACCATAAAAACAACATATTTTTCTTAATTATTAAGAAAAAATTAGATATTATAAATTTAAAAAATTTCAACATTTATTTATAAAAATGTATTATAATTTTTAATTGAAAAAATGTGTGTAAATAATATTTTGAGAATATATATTGTATTTATAAAGAATTAAGAATTAATTATAATTTCTATTTATATAATAGTTGTTAATCGACCAAATTTAGGCGACTAACAGACGACTAATTAATAGTTATAGTCGAAAAATTCGGCCCAAAACTTTAGCAAAATTATTAATTTTATTTTTTTTATTAAAGTTTTTGAAAACATGAAAATTTACCTAATTTTGTATTAATAAAAAATAATCAAGATCGCAAATAATAAAAAAAGGAAAGAGAAAAGAAAAGAAGCACATACATTTCTTTATTTGAAAAGGAAAAAAAGTAAAGAAAGGGAAAGAAAGATATTAATTTAGCTTGTTTTTAATAGTTTCCCATAAATTTTGAAGAAATTTTTTTTATTATAAAATAAGTAAAGAAATAATACCGATAAAAAGTTTAGAAAAATATAAAGGTTTGATTTATTCATTTTACCGTAAAAAATTTCATAAAAAGGTTCTATTATAATTTAATAAATTATAAAAGTTAAAAAATAATATTTATTTAAAATTAATTTTTACAAAAAAATGGCCATATTTTTTTTACCCTTATCAAATTTATTCAAATAGGAATTGCTTACTTATATGTGCTCTTATTTATTCTTTTTTAGAGAAAGAGCATGCTGCCTTTTCCTCCAATTTTAGGACTACAACACTGATAATATATGGGTTTTTTTTATATCAACAGATACAAATATATGTAATCTTTTTTTTATTAGACATAATCTATAATTCGCAGCTAATAGTAATAATTAATATAAATAATGTGTAATCTATTTGTTTAGATTAAGCGCACGGACAGCTTTTGCGCCACAGAGGAAAATGTGAAAGAAGTTGCGGAAATGCTGGGGGGAATCACGATATGCCTGAAAGGACCTAAAGATATTATAAGCGACGGGAAATTTGGTTTAATATATTTTTAAAATGCCTATTTCTTAAAATCCCAGAATTTTTTGGATTAGCCCTAAATTTTCTGCATATTTGAGATATCGTATCTTAAATCTTCGAAGTCAATAATTAAAGGCTAACGAGCAAAATGAAATATAAGAATAATATTAACTGTTAATTGGAATTATAAATTAATAAAAAATTATCAATTTTGATAAATTTCAAAACAATAAAAAAAATGTTATGTTTGTTGATTAAAAGTGCGTTCGTGATAATTTAATTTAAAAGAAAGAATATTTCGATATTTTGAATCTAATATATTTTTATTCGTCGAATAAGATATTCAGGACAACGTTTGAAGAAAAAAACATTATTTAACCCGACCCAAAAAAATTAAATGGCCGGCGTGCTTATTGGATAATTTTTAAAAAAACTATTTTAAAGCCTAATTTGTTTAAATATTATATTTTGTTATTGATTATAATTTTAATGATTATCATTCATTCATAAATATGATTTCCTTTTCCTTCATAAAATTACTAAACCAAAAATCCTCATCATATGGCTTTCTTATTTTCTTAGGATATATTTAATGATCTTAAAACAACGGGCCGGGATACCTTAGTAAAAATCGGAAACGAGCCGTGGGTTGGGGGGGGGGGCAATACCCAAATTCCACCTGACGGATCTCTAAAATTTTACCATTTGCAGACCCTCTAATACAAATACATTATTATTCTTATTCGAAAAAATTGAATCGAAAAATTTGACTACTAATTCTACGCAATGGAAATCAGAATAAAAATTTGAATCTATAAATTTAACAATCGTAAAAGTATAGTTTTAAATGCTTTCATAATAAAATAAAAATCTTCAAACAACAATTTTTGATCTCCGAAGATTTTGTTGAGATTGATCTGATATAATTTTACTTAAAATTCCAAATCTTTTTTTTAAATCTTTGCGATTTTTATAAATAAAAATAATCCACAAAAAAAATCATGTTTTGAAAAAAAAAATTTACTTTTATGATCTCTGTATATATAAAAGTATATATAATTGTCTAAATTAATTTTTCTTGGATTATAAGAATAAATTTATTTATGTTTAAATATTGTTATAACAATGATAAACAAATAAAATAAACAGTAATGCTTTGCGATAGACCAGGAAGCCCCAGGCGATGTGGAGGACAAGGAGATTTGCTTTCAGGTGATTCATTAATTTAAATGACATTACAAAGATAAATATGATTAGATAGATTTTTTTTTAAATCAAACGGAATGGGGGCAAGGCGGTAGAACACTACATAAGGTAAATCTGACTATTCAATGATGGTCACGTTTTTGGCAGTCATAGGCAGGTTGTAGTATATAAAACATTGGATATGTTCACACTTATGAGGTTTTAATTGTATATTCAAATTAGAAATAGTCCTTTTTTATGTAAAAAAATATATAATTATATTAGAATAGTTTTGCATCATACCTATTTTCTGAGGTCTGACCCTATCCTAGAAATTTTTTTTATCCTACTAATCCGAAATTTAATTATAGAAATAGACCGAACCAAAAATAAAGTTAGAGAATATTATTGGACTGAGCCAATTTTTAAAAATAGCTAATTTTAGCAAAAAAAATATTGCCTAAGCCTCAAGATTTCGCTAATAGATGTCCAAACTTTTGTACCATGTACTAGCAAAATCATCATGCTTGGGTAATATTTTCCTGGATAAAATATTGAGGTAGCCCTTTTAATAATCGACTCAAATCGAGCCACTTAATATTATTCTTTAAAAAATATATATAAGCATTAGGATAATAAAATATGAAAAATTTTCTGAGTCTCGCGTTCTGCTCGAATTATCCAACCTAACCCGAGAGAATATCTGTCTAGTCGGTGGTACTCGGATATGTCCGTTTAGGGCTCTAAATTATATTACAAGGTTTGCCGTTATTTTCCAACAGAAACTCTTATTATGAGAGCGCAAAATACGTAAACAACATTTTTAAATATTTTGTTCCCACAATTTGAACATTATAGAACAATATAATTCAAAAAAATGTCATTACCTTCATATATCCCATTTTTTAGAACAAATTCCCCTTTAAAACGAAAATCTACTAAAAAATATAATTTTTTTACACTTAAACATCTATAAAATTATTAGATAAATTTATTTGCTTAAAATAATTTTATGCATCAATTTGCATAAAAATAATCTAAACTTTAAATGAAATTATAGATAAATATATACAAATAAATGAAATAAACATTTCCTGAGCATATTAATTAACCAATTCTTCGATTTACTCATAAAAAAAATATTTATCTAAGCTCATTTTATGACGCTAGGGTTAGATAAAACGACTGGTTAATGCTATAAAAATATATATTTCGCATTTTATTCCATATTTCTTACGTTTTCATTCCTTTAAAACTATTAATATTATCGCAATCTTCCCATTGTTAAAAAAAAATCTGTTAGATTAAATTTTAAAATAAAAACGTATCCTTTCTCCTAAACTCACGCATTGTTTTATTTTCAGGTTTTTTTGCCCAAATACGTTTTGGATTTTCAATTTATCCGATCTTGGGTAAGCTTCCAATTTATACACCCTCTTTCCAAGAATCTAGGCCTTACGCGAAGCCTCCGCTTTTACCTATATAATAATAAAAATATTATAGTAATTTATTTCCCTTTTTTCAACGCAGGTACGATGGGTGTGTTTTTGCACTGGTTTGACTGGAAGAATCCCAACAAAGCCGCGAATCTCGACGATAAACAACGCGATAGTCAATTCAGAGTGGATACTCAAATAAGGTGAGTGGTGGAAAACTTTTGTATCGATTTTTTTTAATCTTCTAAATTTTAAAATATTTTAGGCATATGGTATGAATGATAATAGGCTTATTTAACCTTTGGAATATTCTATAGAGGAATGAATTTTAAAGAGATCTACCATTTTATTGACTTGAAAACTTATTAGAAAGTTTAAAAATAGGAATTTAATAATAAAAAACTATTAAATAAATTAATGACAAATGATGCATAAATTCAAATCTATATCACAGTAACTTTGTCATAATTTTTTTTGTTTTTTTTATTAATAAGTTAAATAATTTAAAATCCCTTTATTATCAATGCCAATCTCTTTTTTTAAAAAAATTAATATTTTAGCAATACTATGCTAGCCGCCTTTGCAGCCTGCAATCTAGTGCGCGAATGCAACAAAAAAGCATTTGGAAAGAAACAAATGTCGGCTCTAACCACCGATATGATTGAAGAAATTAACGAATCCATGAAAATAATCTTCAAATCTCAACCTAATAAATAGATTACTGTTATGTTATTTGTTTTCCTTCATTTTATATCGAATTCCCATTTAAAATCTTTGGCCTCGATAAAATAAATACGAAAAGATTTTGCCAAAAAATGTACATGAATTGAGGAAACTACTATTAAATTATATTGTATATTGTTTTATAAAAAAAGATATGCAGACAACATTAATCTTTGTTAAATTATTTATGAATGTAAAAAAAATTGTCTTATATTTATTGTGCGAAATAAAAGAATAAAATGAATTATGAATTAATAAGTTAGTTATTTATATCATAGTTGTAATAACTGTAAAAAAAATATATAAATATCACTCTTACTCTCAAACCTGTTAATACTTAATCTTAAATTAAACTACACTTGTTTCCTCTGGCTTATTTTTTATTAATAAATTTCAAAGTACTATTTATTTTAGGAAATAATTTTTCATAATCAAGAATCTCCAAAAAAGAAATCCATGAAAATTTTTCATAATAAAAATAATATTGGCGTTTTTTTACAATCCTGTTTTTAAAAAAAAACAAATATATACATCACGTGTTATTCAAAATTAAATGCTATCCAATCAACCTTATTTAAATCGGTTGATTGGCATTACGTAATATTAATATATTAATACAGATAAAAATACGACAATAACCTTTATATAATATATGTTATTAACAGTAATTATTATGTTAAATAAGCATGAATTTAAGGAAATTCGAAAACCTTGTGTTAAATTCGAAAGAGTTTTTACTCTCATAAATAATTTTTCAGATGATCGCGTCAGTGAACTCAGATCAATCACATTAATTTTTTTCTAAAATTTTATTCGAAAATATCACATAATTTTATTTTAAATCATCAAATCAAAGAGTAAGCAATCAAGATTAATGCACTACAAAATCTCTTTTTTTTAGACCGAGCCAGGTCCTGTCTAAATTTTTTAATTATTTTTAAAACATTAAGCGCATTTTTATTATTAAAATGAAGTGAAAAATACTAAATGTTTTGTCCTTATAACAGATAAATTATAACTCATTCTATTTTGATAAAGCGAGAGGAAAAAATACACCTTTTTTCTATGCTAACTTATAGAAGTTGAAACATTAAAAGAATGTGAAAAGTTCTGAAGAGGAAAAAGTTATATGGTGTATAAGTGCTTTTTTTTGTCAAAATAAGGATATATTATTTCAACACATATTTACATAATATTAAGTTATTTTAAAAAAGCATAAAATATTGAAATTTATATTACTAATGGTGATATCCTTGGGTACTGTGTTGCCAATATGCCATTTATATTTAACGCTGGAAAGTGGATTACGGAGCCTAGCCATAAGTAAAAAAAATTTCAATAGAAATTATAAAATAATCATCTTTTGAAAAATTATTAAACTTAAAAGCGCATTTTTATTATTAAAATGAAGTGAAAATTACTAACTATTTTGTCCTTATAACAGATAAATTATAACTGTCATTCTATTTTGATAAAGCGAGAGAAAATAAACCTCTTTCTATGTTAATTTATAGAAGTTTAAAAGAGTGTGAAAGGTTCTTAAGAGGAAAAAGTTATATGGTGAATAAGTGCTTTTTTTGTCAAAATAAGTATATATTTTTTCAACACATTATTACATAATACTAAGTTATTAAAAAAAGCATTAAATATTGAAATTTATATTAATAATGTTGATATCCTTGGGTACTGTGTTGCCATTATGCCATTTATATTTAACGCTGGAAAGAGGATTACGGAGCCTAACCATAAGTAAAATTTCAATAGAAATTTAAAAAGAATCATCTTTTGAGAAATTATTTAAATTTTGGAGCCAATCAAAATCAAGTAAATACAAATCAACCAATCATAAGACGAGTTATGACCAATAATCAGCGGAAGATTGATTTGTAGATAAGATATTGACTATCAATTACATATAAAGGTTACATGATAATATATTATCTAATGTAAAGTCGTAGAGATTGCGAAGCACTGGGGGAAAAAAACTTTTGCCTATTAAATTCATTACTCACTTCTTAATTTATATCTGAACTTTCACTTTCATTCATATAATAGTCTCAAAGCTGTTAAACATTACGTGACATAAGTGCCCACCCATATATGTTGTACATGCAATGGAGGAATGCTTGGTTATCCTATAACCAGTAAACAGAAATGTAGAAAAATAAATATGAAAAGGATTACCCACCTTATTAGGCAGGCGGCAGTTACCCGTGTGCTTAAGAAGCTCATAGGCCCCATGGTAAATAAAAAAAAGATTTAAAAAAGCCCGCGCCAGATTAAATGAAGGTTTTGCATATGGAGGTGGGGGGTTTATTGGGTAGAATGTTTCCCTTTGAGATTTTAATGTTATTTGCATGATTATTTTCACTTATAATTTTTTCCCTGGCTCTTTCAATTCTGCCTCAGATTATTTGATTCCACAATTTATTGCTTAATTAATCTAAACTTTGTCAAAGGAATTTTTATCTTATGAATTTGATCATGGTAAATAATCGAAAGAGAAAATAATTTGTTAAATTTAATATGTTGGTTCATTTGGAAAAAGAAATAATAATATTTTAAATATAAATTAAAATAATAGTTAAAATAAATTTAGATATTAACTAGAAAAATTTTAACTTAATTAATAAAATATTTTATAAAATAAATTTGAATAAATTATGATATTAGTTAAAATAACTTAAAATAACAATTATATGGATAATTATATAATACTAGAATAACCTTTTATAAAACATTTAATATTTATATTTAATTTTATATTTCGTTATATTTTACCTTTTGTATTCAAATTAGATTATTGAAATTACTATGTATATATATTGTTTCAAAAATTTAAAAGCATCAATATGTAATTCATGGCAAATTTGTCAAAATTAAAACAGTGATTAATAAAATCAATTAAAATACGATTAATATTACTTAATTTCTTCATAATGTTTATAAATTTTAATTATCATTAAATAAAGGAATGAATTCTACATCCTTATATCATAAGAAAAATAATCACGGGGCAAGTGAAATCTTATCAAAATAAAAGCCAAAAAAAAATTAAGAAATGAAAAATTTATTAAAATTTTTTAAATTCATTTTATATATTTCAACAATGCATAGAAATATACATATGTAATATTAAATGTGGGTATTTCTTTTGAAACATAATATAAATAAAGAATTTATTCATATTCTCAATACAGAAAGTTTGATATACACGATTAAACTTGAATCGAAATAATTTATAGAAAACGTACATAATTTTTAAAAAGAATCATTTTATTAAAATAATAAAGTAGAACATTGTTGAGTTATTTCTAGTGTGTACCAATACACTCGTGCGGATACATATATATTTTCAAATCTGACACGCAACATGTCAGTTATCAATTATTATGTTATCATTATTTAGTTTCGTATGTTAAATTTTATTTAGATTTAGAAGTGCAATATTAGCATTTTATCAAGGTATATCTTATCTTTTAAAACTTATAATCTATTTTTTATTTATTTTCAGTGTCATTAAAATGCTCAAATATTTATCCCGTGATGAAAAAAAGAAAAAGAATACTGACGTCTTTGAAAGTATATCAGAAGGTTTAAAAAGGTTGTATAAACAAAAAATATACCCTCTAGAAAAGGAGTATAAATTTAATGAATTCCATTCACCTGCATTGGAGGATGCTGATTTTGATGCAAAACCTATGGTCTTATTAGTTGGACAATACTCAACTGGTAAGACAACATTTATCAGGTATATTCTAGAGCAAGATTTTCCTGGTATTCGAATAGGTCCTGAGCCTACAACAGATTCTTTTATAGCTATTATGCATGGGGAATCAGAAACCATCATTCCAGGTAATGCTTTAGTTGTTGATCCTAAACGTCAATTTCGGCCCTTGTCAAAATTTGGAAATGCATTTCTTAACCGTTTTCAATGCTCATTAGTTGATAATTCTGTACTTAAAAGCCTCACAATTGTGGATACACCTGGTATATTATCAGGTGAAAAACAAAGAGTAGATAGAGGTTATGACTTTACTGGTATTTTAGAATGGTTTGCTGAACGCTGTGATCGTATTATTCTTTTATTTGATGCTCATAAATTAGATATATCAGATGAGTTTAAACGTGGAATTGAATCAATACGTGCTTATGATGATAAAATTAGGATAGTTTTGAATAAAGCAGATGGTGTTGATGCACAACAATTAATGCGGGTGTATGGAGCTTTGATGTGGAGTTTGGGAAAAGTTCTTAATACTCCAGAAGTTCCCAGAGTATATATTGGATCATTTTGGGATCAACCTCTGATTCATGATGTTAATAGACGATTATTTGAAGCAGAAGCATATGATTTATTTGCAGATCTTCAAAATTTACCAAAGACTGCTGCTGTTAGAAAATTAAATGATCTGATCAAAAGAGCACGGTTAGCTAAGGTTATTTATTTTTAAATGCCCATATTTTAAATAATTATTGATTTAAATAAATATTTTATACTTTTAACCAAAACTACCATATATATATATCAGAGACCTGCTGGCCTGGAACCTGCCTATATTTGGCTAAATTATTAATTTTAAAGAGCTGAGCTTAAGATCTGGACCAGGCATAAAAAAAAATTAAAAATATGGACCTTTAAAAAAATATTTAATTATTTAGTTAGAAAATCATACAATAGAGTGTTTACTAATCATTCACAGCTTATATTTTCAATTTCCTTTTAGAACAATTTGCAAAATTAAGCCAAAATTATTCAAAATATTAAATTATAAAAATTTATGTCTGAGCCCAAAAATAAGATCATGGCCTAAAACATCCCAAGCCAGCTGGGTCTTGAAATTTTTTTCCCCATATCTTTACTGGGGTTAAAATTTTGACATTTGCAGGTCTTATATATATAATTTTCCATTTTTTCTATTACAATATTATATTAGTATGGTAAAAGCATTATTGCTCTGCAAAATACCATAATATAATACAAATGGAATCTTTTTTTTGAAGAAAGGATTATGCCTAGAAATCAAAAATATTCTAAACTTGGGTTAGCCACAAACACATTTTTTTTGCTGAAACAAATTTGATATTTGAAGCATGGTTTTCTAGTGTAATATAACCTATTAATTAAGAGCTGGGTTATAACATTACAAATGAAACAAATAAAATGATTTTTGGTTAACCCCTTTCAATTTTCATAAAAATCTTTAGGTATACCATATTTGCTCTAATCAGATCAAAAATGAAATTATAGTTCTAAAATAGACCTTTTTTTATTAACTGTTTTTACTGTAAAATAATTATTTATTTATTTAAAATTAAATGAATTTGAATATTAAATTTTATATTTATAACGATGAAGAGGTTTAAGGTTGTTAAACACATCGATTTGAACCGATTTTTTAAAATTACTGACTCAATATTTTATGAAAAAATAATATGCAAGACTGAAGATTTTTCTCATAGATGACATAAAGGCAATTGGACGTCTATTAGCGAAATCTCGAGACTTAACAATATTTTTCTGGCTTAAATGAGCTATTTAACACTACTTAACGTTTGTAATGGGAAGGTTGTTAGTCTGACAATGGATTTGAAAATTTTTTAAAACAACGTGTGGACAGGCTTGCTGGCTAACCCCCCCCCCTTCCCCCAATTGCAGATACCTCTAATAGTAACTTCAATTTTTTCAACATTTTTTCTACTGCTCATTTACTAATTTTACAAAATTATTATAAACTCAGACATTGGATTCATATATAATAAAGTTTTTCATTTTTGTTTTTTTCCTCTACTTATCAATCATTCATTAACTTAACGTTTTCATTTGGTTAATAACTAATTATTTAACAGCAATAAATTGTAAAAAATTACGATTTTTGCTTCTTTAAATTTCCATTATTATCTCAAATATTGTAATTAACGAGTTAAGATTTCGTTTTTAATTTAATTAGAACATATGACGTGCCCACCAATCCTTATCGATATCGAAAGAGGTAGATTGTGAGGTGTTTGATTTATAATGAAATGAGGGGGAGGGGATCTCTGCATCTACTTAATGCCTAATCACCCTCCACCAACACAGATATGAACTAGGGTTAGTTTACACAATAGTCAAAAAGCATTGCCTAGTTATTTTTACATATTATTGAAAATATATTTCTGTTTGAATAATAGTGTTCACAAATTAAGCAGACCCGTTTTGCGTTGTTTTTTTACACAAACTTAGTTGCTATTATCTCACACTTAGGTTCTTCCTTTTTTGGAAATTTTACCATTTTGGCCATATCCATACCAGAATGTTCTAGGAATCGCACGCATAATGTTAAAAGAAAACAGGTCAAAAATCGATTGTAAAATATCGTTTCCAAAAATTTGAATTTTTTAACCTTTGCATTATAAAATTTGTCGTCTGAACTAGTTGTATGCCGAATAACAAATTTTAAAGTTAATATATGTAGATGTATATTTTAATTATATTATATTGCTTATTGCTTTAAAATTAATATATATTTTATACCCTAATTGCTAGAATGCTCCTGTATTTAACCTTTAACCGGCTTGTTTTGAGCCAATTTTTTAAAACGGCTTCAATATTTTACTAGAAAAACATTAGGCTAGTCATCTAGCCGTTTAACAACACTAATGAGTTATAAATTTTCATCTTTAGATTTTTCTTATTATATTGTATAGGTTGGAGAATTTTATTTTACAATTAATAACTTAAAAATTATGAAAGTTATTAACCTTAACTATTTTTATATTCCTATATCTAAATTTAGCATTTTTTTAAACTGATTTTGAATAAAACTTAGAATTTTTATTCATATCTATATTAATTACTCACCAGTCGCCAAATTCCTTTTCTAATATTTATTAAAATTTAATTTTGGAAATGGGTGGGATAAAACATATGGCGAAATTATGTCTGCTAAACCTTTTCGACGAGATTCAATAAAAAAAACATTATTTAATAGAATTTACTTATTTATTTTTTTTAATCGATATTTTATTTTAATTTAATATAATAAGGATGGATTAATTAATTTTAAAATATAATTAATTTTGGAATTTGAAGCCAACTAGATAACGACTCAATCTTGATCATTATTTTTGAAATTTCAGTGAAAATCAATTGTTTGTATATTAAAGTTTTTTAAAAAAAGGAACTTATTATTTTAGTGACTTTAATATTTTTTTTTTGTATTTGGAAAATAATAAAGCCTTATTTTATTCGATCAGAGATATTCTACCCCGAAATATGGCCCAACTCTAGGCAGATCGCGAAATAGTGTTGTTAAAGCGCTCGATTTAATCAATTTTAAATTAAGAATTTATCCAAGATAATATTATGTAAGCTTCGAGAAATCTTCAGGTTTTTGTATTATTTTTTTTTGACGCAAATATTTTGGTTAAACCGTTTTCGAAAATCGAACTGTTTAATAACAGTATCGCAAAATGGTTGATTTTAAAAATCCGGGTTTGTTTATAATCCTAAGTGCTGGCATGAAATTATATATAACCCTTGTCAGGACCTTTTTGAATTTTCCTTTCAAAACGAAAAAACGAAATAAAGCTAAAATCATTTAAAATGAGGAAAATTTTTTGAAATCTAAACCTGATTGTCCCTCACCTTAAGATTCAATGTGAGCTCTGCGTTCTAATATACTTGTATATTTGATCAATAAGAAAAGAATTAGGGATTTAAAAAAACAATAAAATATTTTTAAAAAACGGGATAAAACAGAGATAAAAACATTTAAAAAAGCTTGCTTTGAAACAATTTTTGAAACATTCAAAATTAAATTTAGTAACTTTTTTAAAATAAAATTTAAAAAATGAAAAATTTTCAACAAAATATTGGTAGATTATATTTAAAATGGTGTGATAGACCTCCAAAAAATCGAATCGAACTATGAAATATTTATATTTGATTCGCAAAATTGTAAATCACATTATTATTCGTTTTTGTGAAAATCAAATAATTGTACTACTCATATTAGTTTAATACAAATAATGATGAATATTTCGATTTTTTAAAAAATTATTTTTTCGGATATGTTATTCAGCACGTACAACAAAAAGATCAGATTCTAACATTTTTTTGTATAATTATTAAAAAAATAACTATTTTTTAAAATAAATTTATAAAAATAGACACATTCTTTCATATTTCTCATTTTAAAGACATGACTTTTTTGGCAATCATTAATTATAACCTATAAAAGATACCTTTTCAATTTTATGTAGAATTACCTTATTACTTGCTCCCCTTCAGATTGCACAATTTAAACTATAAAAATATTTTGGTTTTAAGAAATTTTAAACAGGAAGCCACTGATTACAATACAAAAAGTCGATACGGCAGGTACCGGAAACAATTGTATATGTGAAATGACTTTTAAAAAAATTGATTGCTGATATTAGGAATATCCTAAATAGTTATTAATACTCACAATTTATTTTTTACGAATAACGTTGGTCATAGACCTGCTCAAAATGAGCGAACGTGAACTATATGAAGGCCTACCCTTCATATAATAATTATGCCAATTTTTTTCCTCAATTATACCAATAAACCAGATGAAACTAAACAAGTGAGTGGAACTTACCCATACCGTTTTTGTAAATAGTTTGATTTAGTAGAGAGTAAAATAGAAAGAAGCAAAAAAGGTAAGATATAAGAAAATACTGTTTAATTCCAAATACAACTGTCTTTTATTAAATTGATTTAATTAATTTTATAAACTTTAAGGAAAACTTTATCGTTTTATTATTTATCCAATTGAATTTATGATGCTTAAATTTTATTAGGTAATATAAGTATTGACTTTCATTATGCCTCCCATATTTATTTAACGAATATCTTTAGGAATTGATAATTTTTTTTTAATTGGTAAGTATATTTTCTTTTTTCAAACTTATGGAACTATTAATTTAATTTAATATTCTATCATAAGATAATAATATTTCTTTTACTTTGAATATTGTAATAATAAAGTAAATTTAAATTAAATGGTTAATTTTTCGGGAAATCTTACAGTATTAACACTTAATGTCAGATCCATGAACGATAACTAATTTGATCAATTAAAAATTCTCTTGGATACATTGGAGGTTGACATAGCATGCATCCAAGACACCCTGGACAGAATCAAACAAGCTAAATTGTAGAGGTTATCTCTTATTTAACTCGGGAGATACGGAAAAAAATGGTCGGGAGTAATTATGATTATTAAGAAACATTTATCCGGTTATATTACTAAGTTCGAGGCTATAAACAGTAGACTCTGTAGTATAAAACTAAAAACGAGGTATAAAATGCTGAATATAGTAAATGTATATGTCAGCTAATTATGCAGAAAGACAAATTTTTTTCCCTTATTTATCGGAATATTTAAATAATTTATAGCAGGCGACTTTAATGTCAGAGTTGGCCGTC